GGCCATTTCCTCTCCCTATAGAATGAAAATTCATTCCAACTACTAATTTTGATTTCATTTCCGATTACAAACTGGAGTTCACAAAACGTCCCACAACACATCCCCACCTTATATTGGAAACATCTTCCAATGATAGTACTAGAATTGATGATGTCATCATCGGGAGATGTTCCCAATACACAGTGGGGATGTGCTATAGGACATTGTGGGGCACAGATCTGAACTCTAGAAACTAGTGAGGTGTGATTTGGCCCTCCAATGACATTGTGCCACGTGGCGGTTTTGAACCATTGCTTAACACCTCGGTATCATGTTGGCACCTTGGCTCAAGACTAGGTCAGAAATCTTAGGACCAGGTTGCCTATCGCGAGACTAGGTCGGCCATCGCTGGACCAGGTTGCCTATCATAGGACCAGGTCGCTCATCGTAGGACTAGGTTGCCCATCATGGGACCAGGTCGCCCATCGCATCTAGGTCGCCTATTGTAGGACTAGATTGGCCATTGCATGACCAAGTCACCCATCATAGGACTAGGTCGCCCATCGCAGGACCATGTTAGCCATCTCAGGATCAGGTTGCCCATTGCAAGGTTGAGCTAGGGACCTCAGCATGAGGGGCGACCTCTCTTTGTTGACCTGACTGAAACACAGTTGGCGACCTGGAGGACGTGGTGGCCGACCCTATCATGAGTGGGCTATCATCTCCGAATCCTTTGAGATCACATCACCCCATTGACGGAATTAACTACCGCCCTACCCACTTTGGGTGTGATTAGATAAGCACTTCCCACTTACACAGAGGATCTTGGACGGGCGTTAAACCACCTCTGAATTAGACAGGCCAGAGATCTTGAACGCACTTCGTGGAACTCACGATACTTAGTCTATATAAAGGTGTTTCCTTCCTCAAAAAAGGTATTCATGATTTAACTCTAACAGTTTACTAATTCCCCATCTTTCTCAAAACTATTCACTGACTTAAATATCAGAATGTCCACCCCGAGTCAAGCAAATCAGATACTCTGATATTTTCTTTTATTGCTCATCTAGGCAACCTATTCATTTCGGCGTCAGAACTGTCTGCCAGCGATAGGTGAGCAGCTAAATTTCACTTAACGCTTAAACTCATCTTGTTTTGTACTACGCCATACCTATTAAATTGCTATTGTACATGTGTTGGATCAATCATTGAAAGAAAATCCAGTGGAAGGTGAGCAGCTATAACGTCGATGGTGAAGTAAGATTCCAAGAAATTTCAAAGAAAACAACTCACAACTGCTTTGCAATGTAGTGGAGTCTGTTCATGCCACAAAAGAGGGCATACTAAAATAATGTGAGGTGGGAATTAATAATAACATTATAAAATCAAAGTTGAATCAGTAATCCTCCTTCTCCAAGTCAAGAGTGGAAAGACTTGAAGATGATTGGCCCTTGGAGTTGACTCCTTAAGTCAAGATAGCTATAAATAATGATCCTGTTTGTTCCAACCTTACAAGGAGAATTGACCCCATTCATAACGCGGAGTTTGCTTTTTGAATTGTAATGCGACTTACAAAGCTTTTGATTTCTTTGTTTTTCTCAATAGAAGACTAATTTACAGTGAAGAAACGGAAAAAAAAGGGGAATTGATCACAACTTATCTAGAAATCATGGACTCTGAACTTGGATTTAACATCAAAGGATGAAACCATGGACCATCCTTAATTTTCTACCATGAGTTGGTTTCTGACCATATAGCTTTCCTCAAATATCATTCTACGATGTGTGGTGTGTGATGGAATTTAATTTACTTTATAG